CACACACACACACACACACACACACACACACACACACACACACACACACACTCAATCAGTTTTATGTCTGTCAGTTTTTCTCCTGTTGTCTGTCCTCCACCCAGTTTTTTTTTGTAAGTATTTTTCTGTGCGCCCAACTGAGCACCCTTCAGTAGTGCCAAACAGTCGGTGGTTCCTTGTTTGGAGTGCCAACTGCACTCTTAGGGGGGCCGCTCGGTTCGGGATGTCTGTGTTGCTTGTCGGTGATGACGGATGGTCGTCGGAGTGTCCCACTGGCTCAGCGGGTGGTGGGAACCAACAGTCTGTGGGGTTCTATCGTGATGTGAGTAGGTCATGTGCTGCTTTGCTCCGTGTTGGATGTGTGGACGTCCTCGTCTGCGCTCCGCCGGTGCCCTGCTGCCTGTCTCGCTTGCTTCGCGTGTGGTTCTTTGCGGGTTGATGTGTTCGCTGTGCGGTGTGGCCGTGTTGTTGGTGTTGCCTTGCGCTTCGCTGCTCCGCTGCCATGCTGCTCATCTGTTGGCCGTGCCTTCCGTGCTTGCCGCTTGTGTCCCCTGTAGGTTGGTTGCCTTGTTGCGGGTGCCTTGTGCTCCGCTCCACGGTTGCCTAGCTGCTGGGTCACTCGCCCTGTCGTCCTCTGCAGTGCTGTTGCCTTGCTTGTGTTGCCTTGTGCTTCACTACACGGCTGCGTGCTGCCTGCCATGTCGTTCCTTGCAGTCGTTTTTGGCGTTGTGCAGCCGTGTTGCCTCTACTGTGTTGCCTGGTGCTTCATAGGGTTGCTGCCCGCTGCTATGTTCCTCTTGGGGACAGTCTGCCTTCAACAAGGGTCAAAGGGTTCATGACCCAAACCATCAAATGCGGGGATTCCGCAGATTGTCGAGGGTTCAGCCTCCTGATGAGTCGGTGCAATTCCGACGAAACAATCTTGTTATCATCAGTTTCTTTTTTTCGGTCCTTGGTTTTGTTTTGGGACTTGTATTTTTTTAGGTTTGTCTGTTTCTGTCGGTACTTCTTGTTTCTCACCTCGCTGTCTTTGCTACGTCTTATCGTGTTTTTGTGCCCGCCCGCCTCCCCCGTGCCCTCCAGCCTATGTGTTTTGTTGTTGTTGCTTGTCATCTATGTGCCTCGTACTTCTCATCAGTGTGCATTACCTCTTGTTTACTGCTCTTTGCCCCGATTTATTTTTCTGGTATGTTGCTTGACGTGCCTTTTCCGCGCACTCGCCGCGTCGACCGATGTGGGGGTTTAGTAACAAATATTACACACACACACAAACAAAAAAACTAACTTCCCCCCTTTGTTTTTTCGGAGGCCCCGCACGACCTCAAATTTTTGTTTTTATTTTTTTGTGGTTTATGACGTGACCTCCCACTCGGGCCTAGAACACCCCTCCCCAACTTTGTTTTTTCTTTTCTCAACCCCTTATTTTTGGGGTGCGCCGCACCCAGTGCGCGCGCGTCGTGCGCTGTGCTCAGTGTGGCGCGTGTGTGCGGTGCAGCGCACGTCAATGCGCCGCAAGTATGACGCCTAGTCACGAAAAACAGCAGTTCTGAAAGAGGGTCGGAAAAGGGATCAGTACAGAAGACAGAATGAGGGAGCAGTGACAAAATGTTCCACTGGACGATTGCGGGGGGGGGGGGGGGGGGCCGGGGGG